TGAGGAGAGCTGGCACCTAGAGGTCCAAGATCCTCTCTCTTTCAGAGCTAGCAGCCAACTCCAGTGCCAAGTCCATGGGGCTTGGGTGTTGCCACCTGCCTCCTTCACCGGAGCCCTGCGAGGCAGCATTGAGTCCTCTTCCCTCCAGCACTAAAATGCCCAGGCTGGAGACACCATGACAGAAGTGTCAACAGATCCAAAGGCAGTGGGCAGCATTGTCTGTTGGGTTGTCCAGAGGCCAGCCTTTCCCTAAGGTGACAAACGCCATCATGTGAGGGCCTGGGGACAGGAACAAGCAGAGAATGAGCGGGTGAGACAAAGCGAGATCCATTTGCATGCAGAGCTTAGAACAAGGATCAAGGCATATCAGACAGGATGGGGAAGAATGTGGGAAAAAGTGACAATGTCATTACAACACCCACCTTATCTTGTAAGAAGGGCATGGTTGATGAAGGGAAACAGGGGTAAATTCAGAGCTGGTTGGACATAATAGACTTCTGCACAGGAGAACATCAGAAATGTGCCCCCCCCACACCACGGGCAGTAGAGACCTAGAAGTGCTGGTGGAGGAGGTTCTGGGGTCTGGGGTACAGCCTCCCCCTTGCAGTGGAGGTGCCACCAGCGTTAGCTCAAGGCAGCCACGATTTTTTCCTGAATCTGGCCCAAGGAAGGAGATTCACCACTCCTCTGTGCCCTGTCCCGGGGCTGCACCATCCTTTGGAGAAGGAGCTCTTCCTGATGTCCACTCCGAACTTGTGATCCTTGTCCCTTGTTACATCGTCTGGCACCCTGAGAAAGTATGTGGGTCTGTCGTCTTTGCATCTGCCCCCAAATAGCTGCAGCTGCCGTTAGATCTTCCCTCTTACCCTGCTTACCCCACCCCAGCTCTTTTCACCTCTCCTGGTATGCCTTGTGCTCCAGCCCTTCCACTGGACTCTCCTCTTCCTTCCTATCACCCTTGAACTAGGCAACCCCAAACTATCTGTTGCAGCATCCCCAGTGCCTGGCAGAGGAAAACACCTCCCTCGGCGTGCTGGCTGCCCTCCTCCCGGCATGGCCCAGGAGGTTTTCCTGGTTGCCAGGAGAAGC